GCCGTAAAAGCGCAGTGTAATTACAAAAAAGGTCAATAGAAGCGCAGTCCGAGCGCAGACAATCGCCAATTTGAACGTCATTGAAATACGTTGAAACTCTGTAGCATCACCATGATCGCTGGGAGGACGCCGTGAAGTCTCCAGGTCATCAAAAATATCACATTTTTATTGCGATCTTGCGGCGGTTGGTAAAATTTAACAACGCCGTGCAAACGCAGTGAAAGCGCAGTCTAGTGTGACAGGGCCTTAAACAGAATAGAGAATCCTCTTGATAAGGAACACTTGTCTATACAGGACATGTTATGTTTATCCTTTACGAGGCCTTAGTCGCAGGTTTGACGTAAAGTCAGTACAAATACAATTGTTTCAATTGAACCTTAATTAATTATATCAATTGTGCACTACTAAAATCAATATAACTTTTTAAATCTGATTAAGTATTGAATAAATTATATATTAATTGGGAATTTTCATGTAATGAAAGAGTATATCTTAATTAAGTGGAAATTTCTTCAGAAAAAAAGCTCCGTTGTATTAAAAAAGAAGCACATACTATTTCTGAAATATAGTAAAATTCGTGAAATTGTTATGTTGCACTTTAACTTTAAAGTATTTCTCTGAAACTTAAGATAGTTTAATGCCTAACCATACAGCTGTTATCATAAACCTTATTATGGTTAACATTTTTCCCCATTCTGATTAAAATCAGCTCTAAATAACGCTCCGCCTTTACATAAAAGAAATTCTTAAGACAGATTGATTTCTTTCAAAAGAGGAAGGGAGGCAACTCCCAAGCGTAAGGGTTACCTTCTCTTCTTATTGATAATCTTGTCCTGAAGAAATTTCTGGTAATATTGATTTGTAGTGAACACCCTAGCTAGGTTCTTACCATAAACGATTATCATGATATTCTTAGACCTATTGGCACCTAAAAAATCTTTTAGTGGATGAAATATTTTCACATTACTAATCATAAACCATGAGTTCGTAAACCCTTTCAAGAGACATCGAGAGTTTAGGATTACAAAGTATTAAAATATCATCGCCATTAGAATCCTTATGACAGCAATTCTCAGTACTTAAAACCCTCAAATTTGTTAGGTAAAATATTTAATAATTTAAAAGTAACATTATAAAAAAAAATTCTCAGGAATACAGCCAGTTAGTACTACTTTTAAGAATATTGAAACAGGATATTGTAGCACAGTATTAAAAAAAGATTGACAGTTTATTGTAATCAGACAGCCTTGAGAATTGATTATTTACAGCTTCTGCTTTGGCAAATAAATCTTTCCTAATATCCTCAAACTTTAGACTATACAAAATAATATGTTTCTCATCTTCAATGCCAGTTTTACAGATTGGACAATTTTTTTGGGTTTAAAGTTAAACCTTTATATCTGCCAGTTTCAAGTCTAATGGGGACGGAACTACCCCACACGGAAACTTTGCAAATGCTAATCTATGCTTATTCGTCAGGATAGCAGTTACATATATTTCTGACTCAAAACTAAACTTAAAGGTTCTATGAATCCTAAACTTATTTCCACTTTTACCTGTAATATTATTTATTTTATTGTATGTAGTTACACAATCCATTCATCCAAATACTTGTTCAGATATGAACTGGTTAGCTTTTCAACCAATTATATCTTATGTTTAAAACATTGTTGTGAACTAGATATTTGATTACCACAGATATAGCTTACAAAAATCTTTTACTCTAACAAGTTCTACTTTCCTGCTTAAAACAGTGCATATTCATCATTTTCTCTCAAACTGTTCAAAATTGCTAGGTTAGACAAGGATTTAACAAAACTGCCTTCGTTTAAAGAATTGCTGCTACTCAACGCCTATTTTATTTTTCTTATTGAGAAATATAACATTAAACTGATAATTCAAAAATATATTACATCAAATTTGAATTAAAAACAAACTTGTATATCTGTATTAGTCATACAATTATAAATGCTTAAAGTTTAAGTTTAATCTTATGAAAATCGTTTTGAGGTGCGCATACACAAAAAACGTGCTCGGTGCTTGGTTCTTAATGTAACTGCAGTTGGTTCGTTTTTTAACTTGTATCTCACTATCAACACGGCTTTGAGAAAGAAAAAAAACATGTATGCTTCAAATTGTCATCAATGACTTACTTAATGAGTAAACGACAATTAGTTTGACACGCTGTATGCGCTCGTTGCGATACCAAAATGGAACTGGAGAAATAGAAATAAAAGGTGGTGCTGTTGGTAGTTTTCACCTCGGATCACAGCAGTAAGCTACATTGAATTAACTAGAGTACAGTTCAGCCACCGCATCGTTCCTGGGCAGGCTGTCAAGCAGTTTACCAGTACTAGTTGCCTTCACTTACGCACGGAACTGAAACTTCAGTATATACCAGAGCAGAGGTACAGTGCGAATGACCATAGAAAAGAGTTCATGATCAATTGCAACGAAAGTGACATGCACCGTCCGGGATTCGAATTCTGGTCGCCCGATTCACAGTCCACTGCTCTACCTATTGAGCTAACCGGACGGCTTTGAAATAAGCCCCGCCGCCACTATAAACTAAACAAGTACGGAAGTCTGTATGGGACACCGGAATGAAGATAAGAAGTCGTGTCTGTCGAGTTATATACCACAACGAGTCGTCAAAATTACGACGACATACCTACGGAACCTTTAAGTTCACACCGTGGTGCGAATACTAGTATAATGTGGTTATTTCGTGTGCTTGCATGTTTACTTGTCTTGGTATACCACGACATTTTAACTTATTGAGGTGAACAAACTACAATAATGCCAAAATGTAAAGAATTCGTATGCATATATTTGTATAGTCTATCGAATATAATCTCGACATGAAATGGCTGAAATGACATTTTTATACTTTTGAAAGAAAAGATAACAGAGTTAAATATTGTTTTGGTATTTTAAAACTTTTTACAATAGAGACTTTATAAAATCAGTCTCTGAGTAGATGATAATCCCTCCTGGCCGTGGAGATTTTGTTATATTTGAAATTACATATAATATAGACATTAGCTGAGTAATACATGATATACGAGTATTTAAGGGCTGTTTTCCTTGAATGAGATTTATTGTCAAAGATACCAAGGTCAATGCCAGCATTAAATGTTCCATCTTGAAGCTTTAATTAATTGACTTTGTTATTTTTTTTATAAACATGTGTTTGACATCTGCGAATTTCCCTAGACAATGGTGAGGTCGCTTTTTGTGTGATATTCATCAAGTAATTGGTGTAACTGATGAGATTTGAATCCATGACCACACAGAGATGATGGTTGGTGCAATATCCGTATTGTGTTCAGCAGGGAAACTAACCGCTGATATAGCTTGATGCAGACATATAGTATTTGTCTCCCTTCTTCTTTCCGTTCTTTTGCATGATATGTTCTTGACACGTTTTCTTTAAACAGCCAATCAAAATCAGTTACGATCGAAATTCCTGTCGTTGGTGAGCCGGTGTAACGTTGTAAACTGACCCCCATAAAATAATGACCCCCGGTCAATATTTTATATCAACATCAATAGAGGCCATGTTCTAGCTACGGTCAATGGCACTAACAAGTTACACAAACCTACGCAGACTGCTCGTTATATATCGCACAATGTTGTGCTTATCAGTTTGCAGAACATATATACATTGTACTCGACAAGATTTAGAGAAAATACGGTGTTATTTTGGATCATTCCTCTTACTTCAACGAGTATTTACATCTGCAAGTATATACTTATCTGTTATAATATGAATATAAATATTGCCGCATACAATGATGCAAACACATTTGCTACAGTTTGTGCTGACGATGATTTAACTTTTTGTCGTTCTATAAATTGACTGTCGTTTAAGCATATTCGAATTTCTAGTTTTCCATCAATATCGCCCATCACTTCAAATTCACTATCAAAGAGGAAAGTACCATTGTATGACAGAAGCTTATTTTCTACTATTAAACTATAATTTAAACCACTGAATTCAAGTGATATCATTTTACAAAAATTCATTTTGTTTACTTTACCAAATTCAGGCGGGGGTATTTTCGAATGTATGATTGGAAATATTGAATACTGCTGAAAGAAGGGAATCTTTCCGGTATATTGTTTTTGTGTTGCCAATTGATACCATTCAGGGACAAATTGATTATTTAATTGCCAGGACGGATTAAGAGTTTTATATTCTAGAAAATGTGAAGAAAGGAGCATTTCTGTTTGCAGGGCTGATATTCTCCATGGTTTAGTCATATAGTATTGAATTTCTTTGAGAACGGAAATGTGTTTCTTTCTTTTTTGAGTTGTTTTCAAAAATATGATGAAACTCCCCACGTTGTTACTCTGTTTGCCTGCTATTTCCAATTCATAAAAAAGATCATTAATTGCCCACCACTTAGGCCAGGGACAGTCCATCCAAGAGCTGACATCGCTTCCGCTTTGCAGTAACGTCATTAATGTGGATTGATTCATTATCTCTGTGACAAACTTCAGACGAAGAGCAACGTAATATGGAACACGCCATGTCAATGCTGGATAAAAACAGTTAAAGTTGATGTCATATATTTGACCAGATGGACACAAGACGTCTATGCACGTATCGACTGCCTAAAAAAATTTGAAAAAATCATATCAAAATCCTATATTTGTTGTTAACCAAAAAAAGCTAATTTTTATTTCAAATCATTTACGTAAATTTGAATATTAATATATTTATATATATTATATTTCTTAAAAAGTATTAATTTAAAAACATTAATTATTTCGTTTAATTGTTACTAACGCTTAATAACGTAAATAACTTATATTTTTTATCTTAGTATATAATAATCAAATAAGTAGAAGCGCGATTTGCTTAAAATATGGTTAATACTTGATTCTGTGCGATGTCCCTTGTACAAGCTGTCGGTCTATGAGTGTTTCTCCTGTTGTTGATATTTGTAACACTCATCAGAAAATTTGTATTAAGCAAACATGTAAAGGTTTTGTCATTCTCGGGCGGTCCAAATAATTTCGACTTGTACTTTAAAGCAGTTTTCAGCTATGGAAATGACGCCACCGTTACATAAGAAACAGAACGCATTGGCGTATGTATAGCGGGAATGAAACGGTGCAAAAACACCATTGACACACGCTTCAATAACATCATTTGAAGTCATTTCAGACATTTCAGGAATCATTGCTTCTGTGTCAGTGCATGTATCAATTATATCTGGAAAACATATTTCTGTATCTATCGTTTGTGTGGGGGTGAAATAGATTTGACAGTATTCTGAGAACGAGTTGTAAGAGAACGGATTGATATTTTCAGCGACAGTTAGATATCGAGTTTGACTTTTATCCACTGCTTTACAATTCATGTAAGCAAACCATTCAACCCCATCACGTACTCCATGACAATCTGCACACGCACGATTTTTATAAATCTTCCCTGTGGATTTAGAATAAATCGGAAAAAGGCTTCCCCATGGTGCAACATGAACATTCCCGCAGTCGAATGTGTTATTTTGACCAGAATCTTGCTCATCAGGACATGAAGTTGTCATGTAGTAAAATCTATACTTGGTGTATTCGGCAGGAAGAAGATCCAAAGTTACTGAAGCGATACATTCCTGCTGTTTTCTTTGATCAAGTAATGCGACCTTTTCAGCTTCAGTAGGAAAACAGCAGTCCCCGCGCTTCGAGCAATTTGCATCGCAAGAACAATCTGTAAAATTGTATTTTTAGAATTAAAATATACCAAACTACCTGAGACATGATTAATACGTAATGTTTCTGGTAATAATAAATGCCATTTTAACTTTAAATTGCCGAAAAATGGCTGATCTAAAGTACGTTTAACATTAAACATTAGCGATATCTGATTGAACTGAACGTGAATTCATTAGTAAATTCCGAACGTTTTTTTCACTTCGAAGTGCTTAACTAACTCATCTTTTGACCACTTTATAATAAGACACAAATTTTTTACACATCCCTAGCACCGGCTTAAGCAGAATTCAACATTTAACACAAAAAGGGTGAAATTTGAGTTAAGAAACATTCGCAAATGTGTTCATACGGAGGTTTAGCATGGACACTTCAATGTAACACTTCGTGCAATTCCATGAAAAGCGGCGTATGGTCTAAAAGTAATAGAAAGCGTGCTTGTGGAAAATCGTATAGGTTTTAAACTGTTTAAATTGTGCCTATTTTGATAGTGCTTTTTAAAAAATTCTTCAACTTCATCTCAATAATGCTTTCCAGAAACACTTTTGACCTTTTTATCGGCACCTGATTTGCAACACCTGCACTACAGAAGAAAATTGCATGCAAAAATATTCTTTGCACTCAGCGAGCTTTTAGAAATTACAAGACTTTGGATAGCTATGGTAGCTCATATTTTATCATCAATATTCCGTACTGATTTCAAATTATGCACTAATGTTTCATCACCATTTGCTACATTTGCTTATTTCTTTTTATTATGTTTTGGAAAAATTTTGAGCAACCTTTAGGCTATTTTATCTCTTTGCCGCCCTAGATCGCCATTCAACACATGAGAATCATTTTTATTCAATATATTCTTTAGAATTCAGTAAACACTCGACAGTGATATACCAAGCATTCTGGCAGCATTGCGAACTATATATCTGACTTCTTTTCAACAATTTCTGTATTTTTTTTACATATTTTCGGCAGCATGTGCACACGTTGTCCTTTCTGATTTAAGTGCAATTAAAGTAGAGTCTAAATCAGAATCAAAGTAGGTAGCAGAGTGTAAGCACCATTGTAAAATTAGCGTTGTTAGGAATTAAATGAATGACTATAATGACACAAAGTAAAAATATGTTAATCAAACATACCCTCACAACAAGAAATTTTCCCCGTCTCGATTTTGGTCTCGTCAGTAAGGTTGTTATTTCCACATATGTTTGCCAACGGACAAAGTCTCTTTGCTTCACTCAACATGACATTGGTGAACGTTTCCATCTCAGATGGAACATTCTGAGTTGATGCATTGCAAACCGATGCTAAAATTATCACAACGCAAGTCGTATACAACATTTCTATAACTTGTTTTTCGTAGAATTAACAGTCTCCCATAACTAGTAGCTACTGTGTCCGCAATATCGTGAATACGTTTGGCTGTTTATATTTATAAACTTGTGTACGGCGCATGCGCAGGGCGTGATAAATTAAGTTTGTTTCCATGGTTTGCAATGCCTTTCTATCTTCCTGTTTTACATAAACATTGAAAGAAGGGGAAAATCGTATGTGTTCTCTGATGACGGTTAAATGAGTTTCACACGAGGAATAACCCTTTTATCTTTCCATGTACATTACCTTAAATATTATAATATAAGCAGACTTGCTTAATATACACTTTGCATATTCCTTTTAACAACTTACTAACAGATTAATGATCTTTTTGGTTGTTGTTGTTGTTGTTGTTGTTGTTTTGACAGGCTAAGTACTATAAAATCAAAGCACAGAAGGCGCTGAATTTGTTTGGGTCTCAGAATGTCAGAAAGGTGAAAGTTGTGAGATTATAAACCAATTTGTTTGTATAGTGTCACCAATGCTGTTTCCAGTGTGATAGCTATAGTAAAGTGGCTATAAGACTAATTGTAGCACTGATATTCAATTCAATGTTTATTTGGCTTAAACAATTATAACAATAAAATTAAAAACAAAAAACAAAAAAAAACTGGGGTTTGAACTTCAGACCTCTCGCTTCCAAAGCGAGCGTGTAAACCACTCGACCATGGGGAGTTTTTTCAAACAGACTGAAGAATACCATATTATTCTAAATTAGAGTTTGTAACCCTTTTTAATTTCGATATGTTGTTCACGGTAAACCTGTTGTTTAACACTGAAGTAAATAATCATGGAGCTGAATATAAGCATGTATATCTATAAGAATAACACAACATTAGAAATCTTCGACCAATTAGGAACTATTTATTCGTTACGAAAATTAATGCGCCTGTCATTTGACAATCTTTAAGCAGTGATCTCCCCTTAATTTTTCGGCGTTAATGTACATATGAAGGGAAATAACCGCTTCGAGGAGTTTGGACTACTTTCGGCATTTGCAAATAAGTCTAAAGAACATCAGGGTCTGAAATTTCAATACCATTATTTGTTTGGTCTGACGACCCAAACAAATATATTCTACTCTTACTTATCTGAATTTGAGGAAAATGAGTAGAAAATGGTATTCACCCTTATTTCTTAAAAAATATTCTGAATTCTCTTTAGAATATGTCCGTGAAATTTTAAGCTATTGAATTCCGTAAGTGTTTAATAATGTATTACGAATTTCGTAATGTATTTTTATATTTAAATTAATGATCTAACAGAACTTTAACTGTTCTTTACATGAAGTTCGTTATTGGTTAACTTCAATCTTCAGATTAAAAAGCACATGCATCAAGCAGTTACACTAAATTAAAGTGAATGAAGCTTGACTAAAATATTTGCAACTAATTATTTTGTTTGAATTAAAGACTCTGTCTTTTTAATTTTGTTTCGTTGTTTAATCAATTCAAATATTACATGTTTGTTAATTAGTTTCCTTATTGGTACAGTCCAGTATTTCATGAATAGAAAGTTGTCAACATAATTTTATTGTGAATTTTTAAGCACGTCTTTTTTCAATTTGTTATACTATTCTATACAGCAACATGCCGTTTGAAAATTGTATTGGTTGAACATACCGCAGCCAACTTTAAAGCATAGTTTAACAAGGGTTTCAAGAGTTAATTTCAAAATACACCTGGGCAATATGTCCGTGAGTACACAGTACGTATAAGAAATAAGCACTTTATCAAACAAATATCATTAAGTTACACAGTTTTTTTAGTAATAAGGAAAGAAAACATATTCATGACTTTTTATCATAGTTTTCCCAATTTTACATTCATGTAACTATCTATGGTTAAAACTGAATTTCACATATTTCAATACAGTTAATGCCGTATTTTGACGTTTGTTATTATTCTCTGAAATGTATAAAAAAAACTGACAGCTTTATTATATATTTTTATTTACTTACTACTCATTGTTATTAATTTATGAGTTATTCTATAAGCTTGTGTTTTCCGTAAACCCGGTCCTGCGCGAGTTGTATAAATCTATATTTTGCGAACATAATATTATTTTATTCAACTACATGTACTTTAATAAATTCAGTATTGATTCTATGTACAAGAATATGTACAAGATATTGAAATTTTATATGAATATAGGATTTATTTTCATCGAGTGGTGTGACAATAATTATTTTATAAACTCAACTTGATAACAAAAAAAAGCATAATGTCTAATAAATGGCAATGACGTACCACTTTCTTTGTTTGGAAAAAAATATCTTTTTTGCAACTATTATATGTATCAAAATACTTTAGCAACATTAATATTAGCCTGCTAATGTTTTCTTTGTAATTAACTATAGCTGTTTGATGTAATTTCCTCTCCACGTTTCAATATTACAATAAAATATATAAGTTAACGAGGCTTTACGGGTTCAGCAACATTATTGTTGTTGCCATCAACTTGTCACTCCAATTTACAAGTACTATTGTTGATGAGACTTACATAAACTAATAACCAATTGTTACATGACTTTTTTCTGATCTTATTAGTAACTACTCATTAACACGTTTGTATTTATACCCAACTTAATAAAGGCGCACCATTGTTTGATATTCACATCGTTCGACAAAAAATGATATAACAATTTCGTACATACATATTAAAGAAAAATGTAACGGCAAATTTTAAGTTACATGTTAATGTGAGAGAAAAATCTATATATCTGTTCAACGTTATTGATTGTCAAAAGCAACAACAAAGATCTCTTTTTCCGTTTACCTATTGTTACATTCCCACTACACATCATTAAAATATTGTTTGCAAAGTTGTTTTAATGCTTTGAAAGTTCCAAATCGTTCATTTTTATTAAATGATACCCTCTACATTCCTTTAACCCTTTACCTCATATATACGCGTGCCAACGCACTTTCGACCCCCACCCCCTCTCACTCTATTAGGCCTCAAATAGTGAAAAAATGTCCTGTTTGGGCCCCAAAAACATGTTTTCGTTTGAGAAATGTTGATAGAAAAAGTGACCACTTTTTCAGCGCGGCCCCCAACCAAAAGATACATCATGGGGTCTCCCGTTACAAGTTCAGATTGCTATAAAACTATAGAAACTGCCTCAATACTAATCAAACTTGGCACAAATGTTAACTGGACCATTGCCTTTGTAACAACATGCTCAGTTTTAAATTTCCTGTTACCATGGCAACGAGGGGACATCACAAAATTGCCAAAAATCATTATTTTGCGTTGATTTTTTCCATCAAAATTGATTTTAAAGTGCTGCAACTTCTCAATGGATTCAGATAGAGTCAAATGCTTTTCAGCGTTGGTTACACGATACGTTATGATCGACCTGGGGTCATTTATAGCCTCTCCTAAGTCCAAATTTTTCTTGTCGATCAGGGGGACTGCCGCCCCCTTCAAACCACCAAGTAGAAGGGGGCACATCCCCCTTTTGGCAACCCCCTGATGTACCTTTTATGGAAGGCGGCACCGAAAAAGTGCTCACTTTTTTATCAACATTTCTCAAACGAAAACATGTGTTTGAGGCATTTGACATTTTTTTGAGGCCTAAAAGAGGGGGGTCGAAAGTGCGTTGTTAAGCGTATATATTTAAGGTTGGAGAAGAACCATAGACGATTTTGTCGATCGAAAACTACAAACGACTTAAGCAGGTGATGTTTTCTTTATGTATTTCTTGTATTTTTAGAAATAATATACCCCCAAAGTGATTTTATCGCTTAATAAATTCACTGTTTGGAGTGTGGATGCGAAGAATTTTATCATACGCAACTATGGTAGCTGATTTGTGCCATTTGTGTTTTCGATCCGCGACCCCGTCAAGCGAAAAGTCGAGAATTAACAAGTTAAAATGGCGGGGGCGCGGAGCGAAAACACGCTTATAAGCGGGGGCGCGGGGCTAAGTTAAATAAATAAAACTTCGACCCGAGGTGGCGCGGAGCGAAATTTAAGAAATAGAACGGCGGGGTCGCGGGACGAAAACACGCTAATTAGCGGGAGTGCGGGGAAAAGTTTAATAAAACTTGAATGGCAAAAATCAGCCTTCATGCATACACAACCGAACGAAAACAATCATTTAATCAAACGATATAAAATCACAGTTTTGGATATATTACTTCGATTCTAACACGATATCAACAAATAAATGCTGTCGTACCTGATATAAAGCTAATTTCGTACTTCTTTTCAGCGCGTCACATTTTACGTCACGTGTCTAATGGTTACGTCACATGTCTTAATAAAGACCGTCAGCAGTTATTTTATTGCATAATATCTCTCTATGTTCAATAGGGGGAAATGTGGGTCGAGTTAGAATATTTCTTAAATAACAAAACGTCAAACCAGTCGTTTATCTCCTTAAGCTGACATGAATTATGCTAAATACAAATCAGTATAAAACTTTTGATCTGTTAATAAAAATGTTTTGTTTAATGGGGAAATATTTATCTCCTACTTATAATTTCTAGGAATTATAGAGCTTACTCCTTAATTATAGCATAAATTGCTGTACTACTTTTTCGACAGCGGTAAATTATTTCAGCAGTTATTTGCATATTGTACAATAATACTACGGGGCTACAGCGTTTTTATCAATCAAATACGTTTATATATTTTAACTTGGATAACTTAATTTGAAACTGAAAAGGCTAAATATGGAAGTTTTTAAGATATCCCGGCAAAGTATGGGAGTTTCATAGGATCAAATTCAGGTACTATTTCTTGAGCTTTTATTCGGTTTAGGACAGTTGCTCGATTGTAGTCAACGAAATCCCATGTGTAGATGACATAGCTCTGAACGCGCCTGAGGGCGTGTCCGTCGCAAAAAGAAAAAATATTGCTTTGCTCTGGTTTTTGAACGCATTCATAACCGAAACTCTGTGTTCTCATTGAAAATGAACACTCTTTCAGATAGGAAAATTTGCATATAGCATTTAAAACTTCATTTTTATTAGATGTTCGCTTATTCTTAGTGGGACCTCTGAATTTA